GGAGTCTATGGAACCACTTCGGCTGCGACCACAGCCTCGAGCCTGCTTGCTTCTCTGCCGTCCATTCGTGTTGGTCTTTTGGTTGGCATAGGCGGCGGCATCGCCCGGCCGGACGATGGCCGCGATATCCGGCTCGGTGACATCGTTGTGAGCCAGCCCGATGGGACCACAGGCGGCGTCTGCCAATACGACTTGATCAAGGCAAGGCCTGGCGATAGGCGCGAGCGCAAAGGCTTCCTCCGACGGCCTCCGACGGTCCTCCTCAATGCGCTTGCCAGTATCCAGGCCGATCACGAGCGGAAGGATTCCAAGGTTCCCTGCTTTCTTCAGCAGATGCTGGAGATGAACCCAAAGATGGGCAAAACATCCAAGAGAAATCCTGGCTATGCTCACCAGGGTTTTGAAAACGACCGCCTCTTCGAAGCTTCAAGTAGCCACGTCCCCGGGCCGGACTGTCGGGGCTGTGACGCGGCTTACGGGGTTCAACGCGATCCTCGAGACACCACCGACCCAGATATTCACTACGGGATCATCGCATCCGGCAATACGCTTGTCAAAGACGCCGCTGCACGCGATCGGATCGTTGCCGACGTCGGCGAAGATTGCATCTGCTTCGAGATGGAAGCAGCCGGCCTAATGAACCACTTTCCCTGTCTTGTGATCCGAGGGATCTGCGACTACGCCGACTATCACAAGAACGATCGATGGCAACGCTACGCCTCGGCCACCGCCGCTGCGTATGCCAAAGAGCTCCTGGCGTACGTGCCGGCTGCGGAGGTCCAGGAGACCAAGAGGGCACTGGAAGTGCTTCAGTTGGGTTAGTTCTTGCTTTGTTCACTAGGACTAGACTAGAAGATGCACAAGACCGAATAATATTGGAATACGCCCTAACTGCAAGTAGTTCAACAACAGATCGATGACGTGCAGCAGACGACAGTTGCAACGAAAGCTGCAACTGATTCCATCAGGTCTCACCTTCGTGCCGATAAGATCAAGCGCTGGCTCTGTCCCCCAGATCCGTCTACAAACGTCAACCACGCGATGAAGCTCCGCCATGAGGGGACAGGTGCGTGGCTCCTAGAAAACCCAGTCTTCCAGAAATGGCACTCAGGGGCGCGTCGACATTTATGGCTGAATGGGCTCGCGGGATGTGGAAAGACGGTTCTCAGCGCGACTGTGCTGGATCATCTCGCGAAAGGAGATGACCGTCTTATTCTTCGCTTCTTCTTTGACTTTAGCGATACGGCAAAACAGACCTTGGATGGCATGCTGCGATCCCTTGCTTTCCAACTTTACCAAAGCGGGGCTGGTGCAAGTCTTCTTGACGCCTCATTCCAAGCACACCAGGGTGGCCGCGATCAACCTATTACAAAGACACTCGAGGACCTCGTGTACAAGATGCTTGTAGTCCAGAAGAGAAGCTGTATTGTTCTGGACGCCTTAGATGAGTCAACAACAAGGGATGAACTTCTCCGTTGGATGAAGGACGTAGCGTCCTGGCCAAAGGTGGACGACGTCCAGCTGATTTGTACTAGTCGGCCTGAATCAGAGTGCATGCGCGAGATCCCCTCTTTGTTAGGTGTGGATAATTGCTTAGCACTCGACAAAAAGTCTGTCAACGCCGATATCCGATCGTACGTCGCAGCGCAGCTTTCGCAACGACGTGGTTTTCGGGACAAGCCCTTATCTCAGGATCTCCTTGAGGAGATCCAGAAGAAAGTTGGCGATGGGGCCGACGGGATGTGAGATATTACTGTTTCGATCGATATGCTGGTGATTTACTGACGCGTTGCCTAGGTTCAGGTGGGCGTTCTGTCAATTGGACACTCTAGCTCGATGTCGTCACGAGGCAGCCATTGAGGAAGCTCTCAGGTCTTTGCCGCGGGACTTGGAAGGCACGTACCGACGCATGATTCAATGCATACCAACAGAGCTCAAAACCGATGCGATACGGCTCCTACAATTCCTAGTGCACTCTAAGCGACCTCTTAGGCTGGCTGAGGCTAAAGAGGTAATAGCGACGCAGATCGAAAATGAACCGCGAGGGTTTGACATCAAGCGTCGACTATTTTGCGACACTGATGTTTTGGACTACTGCCCCGGCTTAGTGACGGTCGTTCACGCCACCTTTAAAGAGCTGCATCTTGCCCACTTTTCTGTCAAAGAATACCTTGTCAAGGCAGACCAGTTCAACATCACAGTTGCCAGCATGTCCATTACGAGAACGTGCTTAACCTATCTCACGGATATCAACAGTAGCCACAAAGAGATCGAGCAGGATTTTCCAATGGCAAGATATGCGGCGGAAGTCTGGACAGACTATGCTGCGTTGGCTCAGGCTTCAGAAGATATAGCTCGAGCAACGACCAGGTTCTTAGAAGAGGAAGCAACGTTTCAACGATGGGCTCGTTTGTATCAGCCTGATAGGAATTCGGATCGTAAACCAGGTCCTCCACGAGGTTCCAGACTCTACTACGCTTGCTTCGTTGGGCTCGTATCGCCTGTGCAAGACCTTATCAGCAAGGGAGCAGACGTTAACCTGCAGGGCGGCGACTTTGGCAACGCTCTCTGTGCCGCCGCAGAACAAGGCCATGAAGAGATTACCAGACTGCTCTTAGACAAGGGAGCAGACGTTAACGCACAGGGTGGCCGCTTAGGCAATGCCCTCTGTGCCGCCGCATTTGAAGGTCATGAAGAGATTACCAGACTGCTCTTGAACAAGGGAGCAGATGTTAACCTGCAGGGCGGCCCCTTTGATAATGCTCTCTGTGCCGCTGCAGAACGAGGCCATGAAGGAATTGTCAGACTGCTTTTAGACAGGGGAGCAGACATCAATGCGCAAGGCAGTCGTTTAAGCGACGCTCTTTATGCCGCCGCGTATCAAGGCTATGAAGAGATTACTAGACTGCTCTTAGACAAGGGAGTAGACGTCAACGCGTAGCCGCTCGGGCAACGCTCTCTGCCGTCGCAGTGGACGGCTATGAAGAGATTGCTAGGTTGCTCCAATGGAGATCTTGCCGTACGAAATCTTGGTGTTGATAAGGCTGGAACACTGAAAGTCTTTCACTTTGGCTCGAGTTCATTCTCGCATCGGAGAATGATGTGATAGCAGAACATTTTGCCTGGCAACATGTTTGCATTTCATTTTTTCAGGCATAGATACTTTTGCCGGCATTCGGTCGCATTTAGATGCTATCCGCACACGAGATGTATTGAAGGCTGGCCAATGGACTGTTGCAGAAAGCGCTGAGGTTATTGGAGATATTATCTAGAACGAATGGACCGGGAGGACTGGAGCAAGACCTTTCACAGATATACTCAACGAAGTTACCAAGAGATTTGACGCTATAGAACTATCTACAGACTCCGTGACTGAGAGTACAGATTATTACAAGCTTTATCTGCGCTGTCAAGACTGGTTACGTGGCAATCCGAGGAATCCTCTCTGGAAARATCTTGATGAGTACATTGTGGCATGCCGAGATGTAGGACATGAGAGAGAGTTGGATGAGTTTTGGTGAGGCACTGGARAATATGTGTCGGGGAGCCGCCAGTAGCGGTACACGAGATGGTGGCTGAGCATCCTTGGAGGTCTACCTCAACAGGTCGTGGCGAGAAGTCAAATTGAATAGCTGTTGCGACCTAGCCTGGTACTGTACAATACCTTGAAAACCCCATATTTGGATTGTACTTTCTCTCAAATTTACCTTGTCTCTCYTAGACGTCTCCGCTCTTTCTCCATGATATCCCAATGTTGCTTTACGGCGCTCTCTGTGCGGTTCAGTCTGGCTGCAATCACACGGTCCGACGGACGATGATGTATTTTTTGTAAGCATTTAAGATCCTGCAGGAGTTTATCTTCCCCAGGTTCCCACTTGCGGCGGCGTGTCCTTCTGAGTCGACCTTTTGGTTGTCTGGAATAAGTGCTTGAATCATCGTTACTGATGCTAGCGCTGCCTCCGTCGGTGGCCACCATTATAGTATCAGATGTAGAACTAGTGTGAACGTCTGAGCAATGTGGCTGGTCCACATCTAACTTGGCCAGAGTCTTCGAGATCAGCTCTTGCATGTCGAGTAGGAGCGTCGAAATAACTTCTTTATATAAAGACGAGGTAAGCTTTGGCCGCTTTGATGGTTGACAAGTATCCGAGACTGAAGGGTGGCAGTCATCAATCACACCACGTTCAGAGAGCGATCGCTTGGTTGATGATGTAACAGCGGGCTCTGCAACAGTCTCTGATGCGGTGCTTGTTGCGAGTGCAAGGTCGCGCAAATCCTGGCCGTGTGAGTTGTGAAGTTCGTTGCTTGTTACAGATGATAAAGGCTCTGCATCCATCCTGTTGTGAGGCTCCAAAACCGAGAAGTTCAACACTGATGGCGTAGCGCTGGACATAACGCCCGGCACACCCAGGCCAGCTATCCAGGTATAGGTGTCATGTTTGTTGTCAACAAATGCATCTACCAGTGATCAGCAACATTCTTAGTATTGAATCTGAATATACATACCTTGATTTCTGTGGTTTTCCATTTGACAAGCAGGCGATTTCACTGAAAGCATATTGATGCTTGAACCAGCTGATTGTGTGGTATTTGCATCTGGTGACCAGAGGCATACAAGTGGGCTGTCCTCTTCGTCACTTGCATTTTCAGAGATCGAGATGCATGAGTCATTGTCATTGTAGGTTTCTCGCTCATTGTTCAACTCGGAGTCCGAGGGTGTTTTGTCAACAGCTGCCTGAAGCTTTTGTTGTAGCTCCTTATCCTTGAATCTATCGTTTTGATGGTCAAAGCTCAAACTGGCGTCTCGTATCTCGATAGTAGAATCTGTGATAAGTTAGCATTGTTTATCCATATTTGGAAGACAAGTTATTCGGACCTAAATGAGACTGTAGGTTCTCCGAGCTAGGTGTGTAGGCGCTTGGAACAGTTGTGTCTCCGCGAGAACAGAATTCCAAGACTTCCTCGGAAGATGGATACTCGTAATAAGGATCTTGTGT